CTTCCTGAGTGTACTGACGGCTCAGCCGTGCTGAGTTTACCAGTTCCTGTTGGCAAGCCTGCACGTAGCAGCTGTGATGATGCTGAATTCATAGTGTCTGCTTTTGAAATGTAACTGTAAATACTAGGAATCCTATTTCTTTAGGGTTACGTAACTAGGAGTCTTAGTCCAAGATTCTTTCCTCTAACCCTTGCAAACCTTCCTGCTTTATGGTTAATAGATGATCTTAAGAGTCAAGAAATATTTATTGCTTTTAAAGAAATCTATATTTAAAATACGTTCTGTTTTCATGTAGTAGTGCGGGTCATTCTGCCCTGGATCACTGCAGACAGCAAGTGTGCCATGGAACCCTGGCCAGTGAGACTGGTCTTTCTTTGCAGGAAAATATCCAAGATATTTATTTTCTAAGACAGATTTGATTGTTCTAATATAATACTCTGGTTTGGGGACTGTGTGTCCATTACACGCAGTCAGGGCCCATTGATAGAATGAAATGCACACATCAGTGTCGTGAAGTGGCAGGGACTTGGTGAAAAGCTGTATTCTGATAGGCTTGGATGAACTTGCAGTTTTCTTCAGCCATTCAGAAGTCAGCTTCTTTAAAGAAGCACATTTTTTGGGAGTTATGGTACTTTTTAATCAGCTGGCTTTTGATTAGCTGAGATTTTATTTTTGTAATGAGCTGGCTATCAACAGTGTGACTGGCTGGCAGGGCTCTATGGTTGATTTGGCTGTTGTGTGTCGTTTGCCTGATGTAAGGACAGGACGAGAAACAGTGACACTAAATAGAAACTTAGCTAAGGTAGGTCTTCTTATGGTTCTCTCTCCTCCCATGTGTAACTAGAGTGAGCAACTGCAAGACTCCTTACTGTCCAAAAAAAACATCTTTCTTTCTCCAGAAGTGGGGTTGTGTTGCCTCAGAACTGAGGAAGCATCTTAATTTCCTTAGAGTGACTGAGTAATGAGCCTTCTAGTTAATGTGACGTGGCAGCTTCTTCAACTTAGCTGCATTCTTAATTGAAAGAGATTGCTAAGAGATGGCAAGGGAACCCCACCCCCTCTCTAGAACACTATTCCTGTACCACTGCTAGAGCAAGGAACCAAGCTGAGAACAGAGCTTATTATCATGCTTTGAACTTTACCAGCTTTTTTTGTTGAGTGATGTGTTCAGTGGGAGGCCATGGAAGCTCTAAAACTCTAGGTGAGGGCTTTACCGAAGGAAAGCTACCCACCTGAACCTTTTTAGCTTATTCAACTTTTCCGCAACCTTATGCAGAAATTGCTTAGTCCTTGCAAAATAAGATGCACAAACATTTAAGAAAGCTTCCAAGATAAACAGCTTGAAAGAGGACTTAACTTACCTGGGTGTTAACAAATAAATACTTGATCCCCACAGCTAAAGCCACCTCGTTTTACAGGTAGAAAGGGTTGCAGAAGGGTGCAGGAACACAGGATTTAACAGATCAGCTGGATCTCACCTCTGCTCAGGAAGTTGGTCTCTGCCACCTTGTAGGTAGCTCACAGACAGGTGTTTGCTGTCACCTTCTTCTTAATGTACAGGCTGTGCTTGGGAAAGTGATACGATCTGGGCTGCAAAGCAGCAGAGATGGAGAAAAGTGCTGGTTCACACTGTATTCATGGAGAAGACTACAATAGGTGCTACTTCGGTCCTCTTCTCCCACTGACAAGCTGTGGAGTTGGCAGAAAGCATGCCATTCTTGCTAATCCTGTCCAGAAGGTCCCCGGAGGCAAATACTTGTGCTCATTTGCTGATGCAGTTCCTAACATGGCTACAGCTCCCACATCTCATAAGGCAGAACATCAGTGTGGCATGTTTTTTTCCTACTTCAAAAGGCTGGAAATTTGCCTATAGAAGCTGCTAGTGTTGAGCTGGATGGCCATAGAAATAAAGAGATTCTCTAGAGCTGAGTTATGTGCCTCTTTTCTGGACATTCCTCAGCTTCAACACATAGTTGCTACATCTAGGCTCCGAGTTTCCTGACGACTGCACAAATGCTCTGCTTCAGGAAAGATCTAGCTGCTGCTGTGGCTTGCCGCAGATCGTGTTATGAAGGCTGTTTATTTTAGCAGCTGTCTGCTCGATTCTATATTAAGGACAGTACGTATGTAGCTGCTGATTTACAGATACTTTGGGTGAAGGGGAAGGCTCCTAAATTGTACTGTTTTGGAAATAGTCTCCAATGTACTTCAAGTATTCAAAGAATTTCCAGTAAAACTTTTACGTAAGCAACGCTCTGTTTTGTGCTTTTTCTCTGCATATACTGACAGGTCTGGGACAGTCCCAACCTCTCAGGCAGCTTCCCCTTTCCTGGAAGAGAAAGACTATCAGTGAGTGCGGGATGGAGCAGGTTGCTGCCTCCAACAGAGAGGGTAAAATGCACTGGTGCATTACATTTGGAGTAATCAGCAGGATGCTGGCAAGACCACCTTACTGGAAGAAGGATAGGGAGGAAAAGACTGACCGAGTTCCTGGCTGGTCCCAAATGCAGGCATGGGGAAGAGTCACATAGTGTTTGGCCCTGGTGACCTCCCCAGTGAGCTGGGAAACAGAATTATCTGAATGTCCTACCCCAGCTGAAATATTAACTTGTCTCCAAAAGAAAGGGGTGGGAAAAGGAAAAAAAAAAAACCACAACACACACCAGCAAAATTTGCATTGCACTTGGTTGCTACTACATGCTTAAAAGGAGCGTGGGAATGGTTTGATCTGATAGAAGAGTTAGAGAAGACTAGTAAGATGTGAGAAGAACTAATGTGGATAACCCAGCAGCAAGAAATGCTGGTGAAAGCATGCTGCTTGCAGCATGTAGTTCATGCCTGCCTGACAACCAAAATTAACAGCTGTATTCTAGTATTGCTTAAAGTTAACCCTATATACACGATGCCATGTAAGGTGCTAACACCTTTCCTTTAAAGGAAAGATAAGATGGTAAAAATCTATGTGTGTAAAGAAAACAACTGCTGTTTTAAGCTGCAGTGTAAAAAGTGCCTGGTTATTATAAAGAAGAGACAGTGGATGAAATGGCAGAAGGGGGATGGAGGGTGAGAAAAATGACTGCATGTATTGGAAGCTTCTATGAAGGGAAATATTCCAGCTTGGGGAACAAGGATAACTATGAAAACCAATCTTTTCTTAATCTTATCTTCAGGAGGTAACACAGTAAACCGAGTATCCCATTGCAACCTTCTAGATACTTAACCTATCTACATTACATGCGTGTTCATGTGCATGTATTTATAAGTCTCATTTTGTGCACTTATGGACAACACTGCACAATGTGGGGAGAGACAAATTGCCGGCAAACTCACATAAACCATCCTGTGGGATCTGGGCCTTACTACAGGGCCTTCAGTACGTACCCTCTTCACTGTGTCACCAGTAAAACAAGGGATTGGAAAAACCATCAGCAAGTAAGTGAAATAACAAACAGTCACAGACGGATGATTAATCATCAAGGTCATGGACAACTGAATACCTTGCGATTGTGAGGCTATTGTACATATTAAAAAAAAAAAAAGTGTTCTCAGAATATTGTCCTTAAAGCCACAGGGCAGCTACACATGAAAATACATCCAGTTGCAATACAGTTTAAGCTGTGTTAAGTACAGTCCACGTGGCTGCACATAGCTGGTTTTTACTTTCAAGTGGAGCTCAAGTGACTCTAGTCATACATACCTTTGTTAGGATTGGTGTAAATTTTCCTTGCTTTGGTTTCAAGCTATAGACTGGAAGAATTTCACGGCGCATGCTCAGTGAGGGGTGGACACAGCCCGGAGGTGGGTAGCTTTTGAGATGGAGGTGTTTTGGCATTATAATGACATTATAATGAGCAAAGTTCAGCTACAGGACACTATTTCACCATCATTGCTGAGGCAGCAGTTGCGATCCATCTTCCTTGATAGCAGCTATGCAGTTATCTTCACCGGTCATCTATTCCTGCTAACAGGGATGAGCCGTGGTATCTCCAAACCACTCTGCTCTCCATTTCAAGGATATTATACATTCCACTTGGCCAGAGCAGGCCTTGTCCATGCCAACCACATGACATTCCTGGGAGCAGCAACCATATCTCACCTCGAAGCCGCTCCAATATTACAGCTTATGTTAAGATGTACGCTGAACTGTGGCGGACAGTGTTCTTCCATTCCCTCTCTTTTCTGTTATTTTTCCACAATGTGAAAGGAGAATTTGACAACACTGGGAAGCCCTTAATTGGATGGCTTATCAGTAATATAAACTGTAAAGCAGTACGCTGTCATAGAAACGCAAGTGTCAACATCAGCATTAACACACCATCCAGACAACAAGGCAAGTAGCCAGGGCTTGGGCTCCTGCCCCACAGGGGTGCTTTTAGTTCCAGTGCTCTCTGTTCTACTGCTACTCTTGCACGCGGTATTTGCTTCACTTGTTGCTACACTTGTATTCTTCACTGTAGTAATCGCTCTGTATGTAAGAGCCCTTCTACTAGCCAAGCAGCTTACTGATGTAACCAGCAAATCACAGCGTCTTTAGGAAACGGTAGTTAACTGTATGTGGATCAAGAGGCGGAGCGTAGGTCCTAACCAGAAGACTATTGCACATTGGGGAGTTAGCAATCCATGTTGAGATGAGAAGCTGCAGGCCTGTGCTGCACATATCACCTGGCCACATGGTAAATTTACTCAGCTAATCCCAACTGGGGAGCCTGAAGGTGGCTCCCACTTGGCACGAGGTGGTACCACAACCTGTGCAGCTGCATAGGCACGCCTCTGGGAAAGGGCAATCCTAGGC